GACATGGATGGGTAGAGCACCACAATATATACAAAACATCCTTACTGATCATGCTCAAAAGAGGCATGGATCACTCTGTAGCAGCAAGAATACATGACATAAAAATATTGACACGACAAAGACTTAGAATATTTCTAAGTCCGTGAAATCAGCAACATTACGAGGGCTACTTTGCATGCTTGTGCTAGTCACTACAGTGATCACAAAAATACATGGCATACACCCATGTAAAGATGGCATGGCATACTTCAAAACTCATGTAGGGCTCAAGTTCATAGGAGGCACACATTAATCATGGCAAAAATGACAAATGACCAATTACTGATATGAATCTGAAACTAACAGAAACTAGCACTCTTCCAACAGCATTTAGGGCATCAAGATGAGCTCAAATGAACATGATGCAATAAGATGAAATGAAGTACTCGTCGATACGAACAATTTGATATGCTACACGCCCAAAACGAAGCCACAGTTGCAGAGTTATGATGCGATGAAAATTGCCAAAAATTACGGGGAGTTAGTGGAATTTCAACCTCTTCGAGAAAGTCAACGGGACGGAGCGGTGCGGGACGACGAGATCCGGGACGGAGGGAGGTGTTTGGTTCGGCGTGGTGGTGGATCTGGTCCAACTTGGACGGATCCGGCCGGACGTGGAGCTCCGGCGAGGCGCGAGAAGTCCGGCGAGGAAGAAGCGGCGGGGCCGAAGCTCGGGTCGGCGGCCCGGAGTCCGGTGGTGTGGCGGCCGAAGGTGGCGGCGCAGGCGAGAGCAGCTTGGGGCGGAGGAGGCGCGGCGTAAGGCGGCGGCGATGCGGTTCGGCGACGGGCGGCGGCATCTCCCAGGCGGCGGCGCGGAGAACTCCGGCGAAGGGCGGCGCAAGTTCGGCGACGGGCGATGAGCTGCGGTGCGGGCACGCGCCTGTGGGCATGCGGCGGCGGTGACCGGATGGGCCGGGCGGGCCCGCGATGGGCTCCGGCGGGCCCGCGGCGAAGTAGGGCGGCGCGGCGCTGAGGTGGCGGGTGCTAGTTGGTTGCGGCGGCGGTGATACTGAGGTGGGGCACTCCCATTGGACGGGGCGATGTGGCGGCGGGGTGGACGCGTCCGCCGGCGAGCGAACATGTCCGACGGCGCGGAGGGAGTTGGATCTAGGGTTTGCCTGCGCGAGAAATTCAGAGGGAGACACATATTTATATGTAGAGGGAGCTAGGAGGCTCCAAATGAGGTGCGATTTTCGGCCACACGATCGTGATCGAACGACCGAGATGATGGAGGGGGTTTAGGTGGGTTTTGGGCCACTTTAGAGGGGTGTTGGGCTGCAACACACACGAGGCCTTTACGGTTCCTCGGTTAACCGTTGGGGTATCAAACGAAGTCCAAATGGCACGAAACTTGACAGGCGGTCTACCGGTAGTATACCAAGGCCGATTGGCAAGTCTCGGTCCAATCCGAGAACATTTAACACCCGCACACGAAAAGAGGCAAAAAGGGACACCGGATGACATAGGCGCGCCGGATTGCAAAACGGACAACGGGGAAAGTGCTCGGATGCATGAGACGAACATGTATGCAAATGCGATGCACATGATGACATGATATGAAATGCATGACACACAAGCAAATGACAAGGCAACAACAGCGAATAACTGGAAGACACCCGACACAACGGACTCGGGGCGTTACACTATCCTCGTCGCCGCTTGTGATTAGGACATCACATGATTTACTATAATTTATCCACAAACCCGAAGCCTCACCAAATACCCCAAGAGGTTCCCTAACGAAGTGTAGGTCCTGAACTGACGGCCTGCCAAAAAGAGCCACGCTGTCATCATAGTTTGACAGCCTTTGGGTGGCAGCGATACCATGGAATGAGCTGACAACTCCATCCATCATAGCTCGATTGGTAATCGTAGTTAACGCGCCCATGGCAATGACGAATAACAAAGGGGATATCAGGTCCCCTTGCTGAAGTCCACGAGCGTGATGGAAGCACCTGCCTAGAACACCATTCACGATTAGCTTGGTACTTGCCTAGTAAAGAAGAACGACGATCCAACATAGCTAACTTGAGCCAAAGACTTCAGCCATAAGGACCTCGAACAAAAAAGGCCGTGAGAGAGAATTAAATGCCTTTGTAATGTCAAGGTTCAAGAAGAGTCTCGACTCTTTCCTAGCATGGATCTTGTGTGCAACCTGGAGAACCAACAAGAAGTTATCATGGATGTTGTGCCCCTTAATGAAGGTGGATTGGTTGATCCGTACTATTTCCGACATGTGACCACGGGCACGAGTGGCAAGGAGCTTTGCGAACAACTTGTAGAAGCTATGAGGGAGGATAATACGTCTAAAGTCGCCCTCCAGGGCCTCAACCTTCTTAAGGATTAGCTCGATGTGGGCACAAGTGAGCTTGTGAATTGCCCTGCCATCACCCACGAACAGCTTAAACAGCGCCGCCATGATGCCATTTTTAATAATCACCCAAGCTTTATGATAGAAAGCACCAATGAATCAGCTCTGTCTGGGGGATCTCTTTCATGATGTTTTTGTAGGGTGGTTTAGGTGTTCCTTCCGGAACAAATTCATTTGCTGGGTTCCTTCCGGATCGACCTTGTTCAATGGGTTCCCTGGTTTGATATTGTGGTCCTTGATCTATGTGTTCTTTGTCTCCTGCATAATTTTTGTACTAAATCAGCAACACTTATTTTGAGACGAAGACAGTAGAACATAATTACCATCTTCTCTAAAAAAATTTACCATCTAGTGGTAATTAGCAAACTCCGAAACTGATGAGAGCATACGTGCAAAGAACACAAGGATGTCATGCAACGAAGCGATGCTACCCTCGACCAGTTCACCTTTCCTCCACCGCCTTTCTGTGCTCTCGAACAAATCGGGAACAAAGAATTGGCGCTGCTTGATCTACTTAACCCATTTATCTACTGACCAACACGCAAATTGCCGCCGTGCTGCATGTCAGTCCACCATAGTACTACAACGTACAGCGCCATGGAGGCCATGCCGCTGCTACTCTTCCTCGCCCTCCTCGCCGTCCCGGCGTACTGCCTGCAGTCGCCGCGGCAGTCCTACCACCTCGAACTCGCCCGCGTGGACTCCGTGGACACCGGAAGCCTCAACATCACCGACCACGAGCTCCTCCGGCGCGCCATCCAGCGCAGCCGGGAGCGGCTGGCCAGCATCACGCCCCGCCTGTACCCGACCCGCAACCGCAAGGTGGTGGCGGGCGAGGCCCCGGTGCTGTCGGCCGGGGGCGAGTACCTGGTGAAGCTCGGGCTGGGCACGCCGCAGCGCTGCTTCACGGCGGCCATCGACACGGCCAGCGACCTCATCTGGACGCAGTGCCAGCCGTGCGTCAAGTGCTACCGTCAGAAGGACCCCGTGTTCAACCCCATGGCCTCGACCACCTACGCGGTGGTGCCGTGCAACAGCGACACGTGCGACGAGCTGGACACCCACCGGTGCGGGCGCAGCGGCAGCGAGGACGACGACGACGACGACGTGTGCCAGTACACCTACACGTACGGCGGGAACTCGACGACGAGGGGCACGCTGGCCGTGGACACGCTGACCATCGGCGACGACTCGTTCCACGGCGTCGTCTTCGGCTGCAGCAGCTCCAGCGTCGGGGGCCCGCCCGCGGAGGTGTCGGGGGTGGTGGGCCTCGGCCGCGGGCCGCTCTCGCTGGTGTCCCAGCTGTCGGTGCGGAGGTTCATGTACTGCCTGCCCCCGCCGGCCTCCAGGAGCGCGGGGAGGTTGGTCCTCGGCGCCGACGCCACGGCCATGCGCAACGCGTCGGACCGGATCGTGGTGCCCATGTCCATCAACCCGCGGTACCCGTCCTACTACTACCTCAACCTCAACGGGATGTCCATCGGCGACAAGGCCATGTCCTCCTCCTTGAGGAGCAGCATGAACGCGACGGCTCCAGGTACCCCCGACCCCGACCCCAACCCCAACGTGGCGGCGTCTCCCGTGCCCGTGTCCGGCGACGGCGACGGCGGCGGCGGCACGGGGCCGGACGCGTACGGGATGATCATCGACATCGCGTCCACGATCACGTTCCTGGAGGAGTCGCTGTACGAGGAGCTGGTGGACGACCTGGAGGAGGAGATCAGGCTGCCGCGGGGCTCCGGGTCGACCCTGGGGCTGGACCTCTGCTTCATCCTGCCGGAGGGGGTGCCGATGAGCCGCGTGTACGCGCCGTCCATGTCGCTGGCGTTCGACGGGGAGTGGCTCAAGCTGGAGAAGGAGGAGCTGTTCGTGGAGGACCGGGAGAGCGGGATGATGTGCCTCATGATCGGCAAGACGGACGGGGTGTCCATCCTCGGCAACTACCAGCAGCAGAACATTCAGGTCATGTACAACCTGCGCCGGGAGAGGATCACCTTCGTCAAGACCAACTGCGAAGCCATGACTCACTAGGATTTATCTATATTATTTACCCATAACAAATGTAGACATCAAATAGGATAGGTACGGCATGGCATTGAGCTCTGCTTCTCTGAACATTCAGAAATCTGAACTGGACAGTGAGGGCAGAAAAGGAGCAACACTCGATGAATTTGTGAGTGCATTTTTACATCATATCTATATCATCCGAAAATGTATCAAGCGAATTGATACAATGGTCTAAGGGCATGCTTTTTTCTTTTCCTTTTTGCATACTGTATAAATGAACGAAATTTGTGAATCCACAAGGAATGTGAATTTTATATTCGCACAAGGGAATTCTTTTTTTTTTCTTTTGGGTCCCATTCTACTATTTCTAGGCTCCTTGCATTGGTCCTCAGTGTGAGTAAAATGGAAGGAGAACCAATAGAGTGCGGAAACATCATTACCATCTCACTTTATGTAATTTTTATATTGTCATCTATAGAGGGGCATGATATATTCACAACTCACAAGCTATTCAGATCTTACAAGAATAAAGATGCTTCCGCAACAATCAATTCCACCTTCATGTGATCCTATAACGACATTATTACACGGTGTCTGCATAAGTGCGCACAGCATTCGCCAAATCCTGAACATGCTGATCCACAACACCTGCCATGAACACATAACTGATGCACACACTTGCAGATTTTCTATAAGAAAAAAAGAAAACATATGTGACAACCTTACCTATTTTGTTTAATGCGTCCTCAAGTTTGAACAGATACTCTGTATTAGGTCCAGTTGGGCCTTTGGCTAGGTAGATTTGCCTGAACATAACATAGATTATCATCAAAATTAACCACGGTTTCAGTTCAAACAAAATAATGCTGAAGTTAAGGAGGTGCTATACTTGGCCATTTCTTCCAGCGGAGCAGGACCAAGATAGTTTTGGTTGGCCTCCTTATTTGTGGTGGCTAAATATCTGTTGGTAGAATTCAGTTCCATCAGCTTCTTTAACCAATTATATCAAGAGCTCATTTTAAGACCACAAGACCACTTACACCATCATATCTTGGACTGCTGGTATTTTGAGGGAAGAGTCCTGAAACATTTCAAAATTAATGAGTAATTACATATCAAACAATCTGGAACATAAAAAAAATTCAAGCAATTGGTAGTCATTTCTTACTGTATACAAGTCAAGGTAAACCTTCTCATCATATTGCTTCTCTCTTACTTCCAGGTACTGCAATTCAAGGTTGAAGGTAAATTGACAATAGACGCAGGCAAGCAACTCAAAGTCAGTTTATGAAAACACCGATCAAGGGCAGTATTACTTTGATGAACAAACGGGCTGCTAGAAGTAGCATCTAGACAAAGTATCTGAGTTCAAACGAAGAGTTCTTACTTTTCTTAAAGAAAATTTGCTTTTCTTAGCTCAAGGCTGAATCATCAATATCTCAACAAGCTATATAATAAAGCATACTCATACCATTAACCAATCTATTTATCTCCATTATGACAGACAGACAACAGCATTCTTGTCCGAACCATGGGATAATTGTGCATAATCATTTACAAAGTACTACAGCATTGGTGAATTGCACGTGTCTGACTTAGTCTATACTCCCTGTGTAAACTAAGATAAGAGCGTTTAGATCACTAAAGTAGTGATCTACGGAGGGAGTACATCTTTCTTCTTTTTACCTCCAGGGCTGTCTGCTTATCTTGCTCCCTTGAAATTTTGTAAGCAACTCCCCACTGCAGTTGTACAACAGAAATTCAATTGCAAAATATGTTCACACTCCGTTAACAGAGTAGCCACGAGAAATAAACAAATACCAGTAGAGAATAACATAGCAATATTGGGGAGCATTAGCATAGTGAAAAGACGCGTAGAACTAATGAACTTACTAACCCATTTCGCATGTACTACTATCTAGGCTCTCATAAGTTTTCTGAGATAACTCGGAGCAGGTACGATTCGCCATCCTAATGCACTCACTGATCTTGCTTGACGACTTTTAGTCGTCGATCATGAATTGGTTTCTGCGTTAGCATAAACTAGCTAGCTTCCATTTTCAAGTTCAAGACCACTGGCACAGACAATCCCATCTGATCAAGCGATGCTATGCAATCAGTATGTGGTCAATGACACGAACAGTCATTCACTGACAGTGAGGAACAGAAAAGGAACTGATATCTGAACATCAAAGGAGGGGTTTATCCTAATCTGAGAGCAGAGAGTTGGGCGGCGTACGCATGTGGACCCGGGCTGGTGTTCCAGCGTGACGGTCCTCCCGGGGAACTCCGGCGTGCCCCTGTGGTCCGTGCTCCCTGTCGATCCGGCGACGAAAACCCCAAGAAGAAAAACCAGAGGGTCAGCGAGATAGATCTGGGAAGCGCGGGCGAGTGGCCGCCGGAGTAATCAGTTAGCTAATGGTACCCACCCTGGTAGAAGACGCGGCGGTAGTCCCTGACGAAGCCGACGAGGCGGGCGTCGTAGGCGAACCCGGGGTTCCACACCAGGGAGCCGTAGCCGAACACCCACATCACCATGCCTCCTCCTCCTTCGTCTACCTCCCCTCACTTGCTCCGCTCCGGTGGAATCCTATGTGTATCGGCGGCGCGTGTTGGTGTTGGTGCCTCTGCCACTTCTCTGATTGGATTTTTTTTTTTTTTTTTGAGAATCACTTCTCTGATTGGATACCTCCCTCCCGAGGACGGCTGGACAGTTGGACGACAACTGGCTGGGTCTGCTGGAGGCCCATGTTAAGGCCCGAACATGGCAGCCCACGTTACAAATCAGGTCAGGTCGTTAGGTCGCTAAACTTGTTTAGTACCACATCGCTTGCCTGAGGAGGCTGGAGCGGGGACTGTGCTATATAGCCAAGGCATGGTGCGACCTTTAACCATACTTACCTGGACGGGGTCGATGGCTGATCAAGAAGAGTCATGGTCTAGGCTAGTGGTCCGCATTGCACTTGATGGATGCGCTGGCTTACCATCTTCCCGAGTGGGAGAATGGACGTCATAATTTGTGGTAGAGGGGGTACACGTTCGCGCGGCCCTTGCCAATTCTTGAATTGAAAGTTTGATGAATTTGTATACATTTGCTGCTTTTTGTTCATCATGAATTCATATGAATTTGTATATATTCGCTCCTTTTTGTTTATTTTGAATTATGAATATTTCTAGAATTTGAAAACGGAACTGAGCTTCCATTTGCTAGTCTTCTGTTAACACTTGCTCTTAAACATTTGGTCTCCAGAAACGTCATATCCCATTATGTGTTAGCCGCTGCTTTGACTAGTACTCCCTCCGTCCGGAAATACTTGTCGGAGAAATGAATGTATGTAGATGTATTTTAGTTCTACATACATCTACTTTTATCCATTTCTATGACAAATATTTACGGACGGAGGGAGTATTCAAAGCAGCACCTACCAAACCATAAGGTAAGGCCAACATTTTTACTCTACTCCTACACACACTAAGCAAAAGTAGCATTCAGGAACAATCAAGATTGCACATGCCAAATCCCCAGTCAATAACTCCAGAACACAAAGACATGATCATTTCCCAAAGTAACATTGCAGGATCAATCCACACAATCAACAACGCACATACAGAGCAATGTTTAACTCAGTTCCAGTGCTTAAAAACAATGCTTAACTCACTCAGACAACAGTAAGCATTTCAAACTGATGTTTCATTTAACCAAAAGGAAGCCTGCAGTTTCTGATATATCCCGAAAAACCAGCCGTTTAGCCCCCTGGATTTTGCACCACATAGAGTCAATCATCGCTTTCGGTGTCATCGTAGTCGTAATCGCCACCGCTGCTGGAGTTCTCGTGGTAATCAGGCTCCCATGGCTCCCGGAACGACTCGAGAGCGCAGCATCTCTCCTCGATGTCCCCGTCAAGCCTGACATTCAAGCTGCCAAGTATGTCCAGTGTACGCAGCAGAGGGCATTTGGTCAGGATGGCATCAAGGCCAACATCACTGAACAGACCATATGCAAGCTCAAGTTGCTTGAGCATTGGCATGGTATTCGCAACCGCCAGGGCCTCGTCTTCAACCACTTTAGGTGCTGCATTGTTGTCTTCGGGAGGCATGTTCCTCTTCAGCTGAGCAAGCGACTTGCATTGTCGGCCTATTGCTTCCATGCCTCTCGATGTGACTTTCTCGCAGTAACTGATGTCCAACACTCTTAGGGCAGGAAAGCATTTCACGTACTTCTCCACGGCTTGGTCAGATATCTCGCTCATCGGGATCTGGAGGACATTAAGCAACTTCCCACTGTCCAGTGGAAATTAACCATCACAATCATAACTTCAATTTTTTTGATAAAGAATCAGAACTTCAATAGTTGCAGCAATGGTAAATTAGGTGCCAAATTTGCAGCATATGACAGGAAAGAAAAGATGTAGCACCGTTAAGCCGACTGGCACATAACAGAGCAATGCCATTACACACAATGTCATAGAGAAGTATCGTTATAGTCCTAATCTTATATGCTCCTCCGTTCGGAAAAGCTTGTCCCTCAAATAGATGTATCTAACACCAAGTTAATGCTAGATACATCCATTTGAAGGACAAGCTTTTGTGGACAGAGGGAGTACATAGAAGTTCTGAACTGAAGCAGTACAAATTAAGCAATATGTGATATGTATCAAGAAATAGATTAGCTAGTTGGTTGTGATTTTCTTCACATGACAAGAAGCCTCAGAAAAACTAGGACCGGCATCCTCTGAAACTAGTGGTTCTCATTTTGTTTTGAGAGAAGACAAAGTTGGCCCTAATGTCATCTAACAATATCCACACATCATGGAATCAAAATAGCAGATTATCATTCTGTCAAAACAAAATAGCAGATCATGATGTTCACATTTGCACACAAGCAGATGCACTTCAGTAGCAAATTAGCAGAGGTTTATCCCCAATGCACTTGTGTGGGTGTGTGCTTGCGTGTGACGGTGTAATCCCTGAAAAGAAGTATGGCTCTGAACTCTGATTCATTCTGTGAGACTAAAAACGTAGGAGGTGTGTTAGCAAAACTTCTTTTTTTTTACAGAAGTGTGCTGCCACCTACAAATGGTTATCATATAAACATGGATTTTACAGTGCCATCACTGGTGCCTGATCACTAAACTGAAAAATCTCTACCAGCAGCTCTAATGCACAATACGCAAAAACTCTACAGCTTGAAAGCAATTAATCAATTTCTACCCCAAATATATAGGAGTAGTTCTCACAGGTCCAAACTATGAGTCTCCCGAACTATTGATGCAAAATTGGCAATTTTACTAGCAGTCATCGCACCACAGTTCTAAATGTGGTGCAAAACTAGATAAATCAGATAGGGAATTTCAATAGTTCAAGCAGTGGTTTTTCTTGTCACCACAATTCACAAGGCATCGACACGACATGTCACGGCAGCTTCCTTCTCCTACTAGCATTATGAAACCAAGAACCAAACCTTTTGGGCCAGGCAATGGGGGCAGCGCGACTTACGAGGCGGCGACGTAGGCAAGCGCGGCGTCGCCGACGCGGTAGGCGGAGAGCCGACGGATCGTGCCCTGGGAGCGGGCGACAAGGCGGCGCACAGCTGCGTCGGCCTTGACACGGCATTTGACGCGGCGGCACCAGGCCTCGATGTCCACGTCCCCCCACATGTCCGGCGACGCAGCGGCCTCCCTCCACGCCCTGCACACCGCCGCGGGCCCGCGCGCAATCTCGTCGGCGGCGAACCTGCCCCGCAGTATCAGCGCCATTATCTCCGGGCTCGCGGCCTCCGTCCACCTCCAATCGTACAGTTCCTCCTTGACCTCGTCGCCCCTCAAGTCTCCTCCACCGCCCCCTTCCACGGCCTCGCAAGGAGTCGCCTTTTCCGTCTGGGGCAAACACCACTCGTTCTCTCCTCCGCCGGTGGCCGCATCCGCGCTGTTCTCCGCCGCCTCCGACCAGCTCGTTCCAAGAAACCCTCCCCTGCCGCAGCTTCGTCCATCAAGCCCGGCCATTTCCGCCTCAGTCTCCATCCGCCACCCTCCGCCATCTGCGACCAAGGCTGCTCCGCCACCAACTTTGGGCTTCTTCTTCATGGCCTCGGCGTGCGACCACTTCACCACGGGCGCCGTCAGTCTCCCTCTCCAACCCCCATTAGGCCGCTCCCTCTTTGCCTCCCACCCCGGGCCCTCTCCTCGGGGGAATCCGGCGCCGGACGTAGGGTTCCGACGCTTCATCGCCGGCGATTTGCCTCGACCAACTCGCCGCGTTTGTTTTGGGGTTTTCCGTTCCCTTTTTGGTTGGAATTGGGGAGGAGCGGAGAAGCGCACATCCGGCTCACTAGAGCTGAGCTAACCTCTTGTAGCAATGGAGATGCCCCACCCACGCCGCGTATGGGAGGAGCTGATGTGCGACGCGTGTCCCCTCCGACGGATCTACGCCCCTGCTGCCTCTTGGAGTTCGTGGGTTCGGGGATTCGGGGGAACTGGACTGTGGGTGCACGGTGGCGTTTCGCATTCAAAGGAGGAGAGCAGTAAACTGAGTGGATAGCTAGGATAGGTAACTCGTAGGCGGTCCACCAAATATCTGGAACATGGTTGGATATGTTTAAAGTAGAAAGTAAAGAACGAGAGAATTTGAATGAAAGATGATCCATCTGTCTTTATTGATAACAGAAGTGGGGTATTTATACCCAGGCGGAAGTACACATGGTGTTTGGCGGTCAAGTAAACACATAGTTACTTGAGAGCCAAGAAATTACATAGTTGCCTTGAGAGCCAAGGAAGTACATGGTTGCTTGAGAACCAAGCAACCTATCTAACAATTAACTTAATCCTAATTAGCTTAATTAATAAGCAATTATTCTATTCTTAACACTCCCCCTTGTACAACGCCTCTTCTTTGGTACATCCATCATCTTGACAAATTCTTTGAATAATCTTGAATGTCTCCTTCAAAAACCATGTGGAAAAAATATGAGGAGAATATAGCAGATATGTTGCTAAAACTCCTTCAAACCCAATGGGAAAAATAATAAGAAGAAAATGATGCAACATATAATGATTATTGTCTCTTGATAACTCATATAAGAAAAACCTTTGAAGAAGGAGAAAAATCATCGATGAGTTTAGAGAACAATTAATATGTCTTGAGTACTTTCTTTAAAAACCTTGATAGGGAAAATAGAAAGTATGACTTATGATCTTTGATAAGATATTGCCTCATTAAAAACCATTATGAGAAACTTTGATAGAAAACTCATAAGGGAAAAGAGTGCGATATGATATGCCATTGAAAACTTCTTTAAAATCCAGTGGGAAAAATATAAGGAGAAAGTGTATGGCATATATGGGCACTTGTGTTTATATTGTCTCGTTAAAAACCTTTATAAGAAACCATTAGGGAAAACTCATGAAGGGAAAAAGAGTACAATATATACAATCTTAGAATTGTTGATAGGTTATAGGTTTGGGAAATTACTCCCCCTAAACTTTGCAAACCTGGAGAATGTGTAATATAAATTCCATTGATATGATCATGACATTATGGAT